CTCGTATCCACCCACACTCAGTATCTCTAGTTCTCCATGAATCACCTTTTAAAGTGAATCCTCAGCGTTCAGAGAGCTGAACACTAAATGGACACTCCTGGTAGTTCTGAACTGGGGCTCTTCTCCTACAGAGGCAGGGTGAGGTCTGGGCTGGTTTTCATCAGCAGAGGGAGGACCCTATTTGCATGTCTCCTCCTCTATTGCAAGCTCTGGTTGGGACACTAGAGGACAGAGCAGTGCTGTTTAGATGTGAGACTCCTGGAGGAGCTTAGTGCCAATGACAACATCTGGGAAAATACAATTTCTTATTATGTGATTCTGCCATTAAAATTACTTAGCAATTGTTATTTACTTTTTACATATTTGTACAAATAGAAATAAAACTGCATTAAGCAAACTTCCAAGAGACATGGAGAGAAAAATAGAAAACAATAAAAATTAGGAGGAGAATTTAACATTTCACTTTCAATAATGTATAGAACATCCAGAAAGCTACTCAGGAGGCTGAGGTAGGAGAATCACTTGAACCTGGAACATGGAGGTTGCGGTGTGCTGAGATTGCACCACTGCACTCCAGCCAGAGACACCTCGAGACTCCATCTCAAAAAAAAAAAAAAAAAAAGAAAAAAGAAATTTAAGAAGCCAGTGGACTTGAACAATACTACTGAACAACTCTCCAATAGAAATCTGCAGAACTTTGAAACTAACAGCAGTGTAATATGCATGTTTCCCAAGCACAGACTAAATATTCTCTATGATAGGTCATATGTTAGATGACTCAACATTTAAAGAAGTAATGCCAATCATTCTCTCACTTTTTCAAAAACTGGTGAGGTACCAAACGGCCAGTCTTTATAAAAGGTTAACATTATCATATTTTCAGTAATAGAAAAGGTCACACACATACACAACAAATAATAGTCAACTAAATTCTACAGGACTTTAAAAGGATTATACACCATGACCATCTCTTTATTTTCGAGTTGCACAGATGATTCAACATCCTTAAAACAATAAATCTGGTATGTCAAATTAAAATAAGGAGAAAAAGGTCCCATTAACATTGCCCCAGACAGAACATAACATTAAAAAAATTCAGTTTCATAAAACTAGAAACAAAGCAGCAATACAAAAAAATAACCTGTACATAATAAAACTCATTATGAAAAGCCATAGCTATTAACACAATGGTGAAATGTTACAACATTTTGGTCTAATATCTGTAACAAGGCAAGAAGAAACTTGGAAGCATTTTACTCTCAGACTTGAAAATTACTTACAAAAATAATCAAAACAGGATGCTATTGGCATAAATACATACAGAGAGATCAGAAATAAACCCACATATTGATGGCAAACTGATTTTCAACATGAGAACCAACATGAAGGCAAACTGATTTTCAACATTTTCTATGCAATGGCTAAATCATACTCTCTCCCAAAGAGGGTGTTAAGGCAAACTGGATTTTCACATGCAAAGAATTAAAAATTTTAGTTGAGAATAAGCACAAAAAGTCAACTCTAAGTGGGATAAATAGTTAAATATACAGCCTGCAATTGTAAAATTCTCTCCCACGAAAAAGTTAACCATGATTTCCTAGATTTAGCATTAAAAGCACAGACAACAAAAGGAGAACTGAGCAACTGGAACTACATCAAAATATAAACATTTTGCAAAGCAAGGAAAAAAATCCAAACCTACAGAGTGGGAGAATATAGTTGCACACTATGCATCTGAAAAATTCTGTTAATACCTAAAATATATATATATATATATATATATATATATATATATATATATATATAACTTCTACAATTTATTAGCAAGTCATAACAGCCTGATTGTCAAATGATAGGTTTCGTGTAAAAAAAATTAGATGTCATGTAAAAGATTCTCCATGGGTCATAGTCTCCTTTACCATATACTTGGTTAGGGTATACTTTATAGTTATTCAAAAACTAATTTAGGTGTTGTTGCAAATTTAGAATTAAAACTGTCAATTGACTCTAAGTTAGGTAGATAGTCATTGGTTAAATGAATGTGCCCAATTCCATCAGAGCAGAACTAGAGAAGGTGAAATTCTAGAGTGATCCAGCAGCTTCAGCTCTCTCTGAGACTTCCAGCCTGCACTGACTGGTGACCGATCTTATGGATATTGTACTTCCCTGGCCACATCCCAAAATCATCATCCCCTAAATCTCACAGAAAAGTGATGTGTCCATCTGTGTTTTGTCAAATCTGAAGAGCGGACAAAAAGAGACTCTAAAGTAAAATGATATTTATTTGAATATGGGCATTGCAATGGGAATATGCATGTGTTCACTCAGGCAGGCAAAGGAATATAAAGTATTAAAGATAAAATGAGGAGGGTTACATATACTTTTTTGAGACAATTTATTCTGGGCTAGAAGAATCAATAAGGGTGGCATAGGCCCTGTCTTAAACAGAGAGTTGCTGGGCAGATTCTTCATAGAAGTAATTCTTTTAAGGTTGTGGTGACCTTTGTGCAAGGTTGTGGTTCTCCAGAGTCTGTTTATGATAGTTCTTGTTATCAGGGATATGAGCGTGAGAACATTTGTCATGGCCTTCCCCAGCTTCATTCAGCAGGGTTTTAACTCAAGTGATTCCGTTTTGATTCTGACAACTTTCTCAAGTTGTTTCTAAAACTATCATTCAATAAAGTGACTCTGACAGTTTGTACAGCACAGGGTCAATTCCACATCTGTATCTCATGTTGACCAAACAAGCTCATCCCTTTTTTTCCCCAGCCAGCTGCATTCCCAGATGAGTCTTCACACAATACAGTGGAGGATCCTGAGCAATAGGACAGAAGAAAGGCCCATTAGCCTCCCCAAGTTGGCTGCAGGAGCCACAATCGGAGACATACCTGAGCTCCAAGAAAAGGGCTGGAGCCCTGTAATTTAGACCACAGAGACCCATCTTTCTTTTTGCAGTGAGCAGAAGCAAGTGAAAGAGGGAGAAGAAAAGTAAGTAGAAATTTCATAGAAAGTGAAAGAAGCACCAGATCAGTGCTGGTGCTGACTTGTACACTTTACTGTCAGGAGAGGGGTCAGATGTGAAACCTGTGGGAATCTCCATGACACTGACTCCAGCTCAGCCTCTCTATCAACTGTGCTTAGAATCCCTAAAGCCTGTTCTAGGCAGGAGATCTCACCGACGTTTCTATCCTGGGTCTGATTGGGGAAGACTCACCAGGAACCCCTGAGCTTACTCAGGATTCTCATCTTGGGGGCCATCGTTGAGAACTTTTCATCTCTGTAAGTTTCAATCTGCATTTTGTGCACATGAGAACAGTTAATTTCTCATATTAAAGAATACTATGCAGCCATAAAAAGGTATGAATTCATGTCCTTTGCAGGGACATGGATGAATCTGAAAACCATCATTCTCAGCAAACAGACACAAGAGCAGAAAACCAAAGACTGCATGTTCTCACTTATAAGTGAGTGTTGAACAATGAGAACACATGGACACAGGGAGAGGAACATCACACACTGGGGTCTGTCGGGGGTTGGGGAGCTGGTGGAGGGATAGCAGGGGGTGGCGAGATTGGGGAGGGATAACAGCAGGAGAAACACCTAATGTAGGTGAAGGCGGGATGGAAGCAGCAAACCACCACAGCATGTGTATACCTATGTAGCAATTCTGCAAGATCTGCACATGTATCCCAGAACTTAAAGTATAATTTAAAAAAAGATCAAGCTGAAAGTTCAAATAAGTTGTGGAAGGACTGTAAAAATAAATCTTGTCAAATAAAAAACAAACTCATAATAATTAACCCACAAAATATACAACTTAGAAAACACTGATGTAACCATCACCATTACTAAGATAGAAAACAAATCAATTGTCCTCCAAATTTTATCTTGTTCTCTTGCAACACTTTCCTCCCTCTTCTTTTCTCTCACCTTTTCCCCATTCAAATACCTTCTTCATGTTACTTTACTTTCTATTTTGAGGCTGTATAAAAGTGTAATCATAAAGGATGTAGGGTTTTTTAGCTTATTTTACTTATATGTACTTGTGAATTTAGTTCTCTTGTGATTTCATCAACTTTTGTAAATTGTAATGATGAGAAGAATGCCAATCAATGAATTTACTACATTCGGTGTTTAATCTGGCACTCTTTAGCATTTGCTGACAGTGGAATATAAAGAAAATAATTTTCAAGTCTTACGTACAGCTAAGACAAAACCAAAAATTACCCGTCGCTAAGCTACATTTGCCAGTGGATTTTTAACTGACAAAAGATGAGCCTGGGAGAAATCACAAAAGCAGCCAATTCAAAGAAAAGCCCTTTTTCTTATTCAGCTGAACCTACGACCACAGTTACTGGGAAGGCAGCTTCTCAAACTCCTGAACTCAAACCATTTGCTCGCCTTGTCCTCCCAAAGTGCTGGGATTCCAGCGTGCGCCCCGCACCCGACCAGCAAAGGCAACGTCTAAAAACCTCCTCACTTCCCGTCAGTGACAGAATCCCGAGTTTTCAGAGGACGTGCCGGGTCCAGCGCGAAACGCTGACACTGAGGAGCTCGTGACGTCGCCAGCAGCAGCCGCTCCAAGCTCCGACCCGTGGGCGGTGGGGGAAGCCCTGGGCTTGGCCGCGCTGGCTCCGCATCCTTTGCTGGAGGCGGCGGCGGGAAGTCCTCAACCCAGGCGGCCAGCGGAGGCGCAGCGCAGTGCGGGACCCAGGGAAGCAGCCGCGCCCCGCGCCGTCCCCGCGCCCCCCGCCGCCCCCCGCCGCCCTCCGCCGCCCCCCGCGCCCAGCACCTCCTCTATGCCGACCCAGCGCGGCCTCCCTGAGCCACGCGCGTCGGGACGGTGCCACCCCGCCCCCAGCAGGCGCCCCACGCGGCCACGCCCGCCCCCTCCAGCCAGAGCAGCGCGAACCCGCCCCAGCGGCGGCCGCTACTCCGCGGGCCCGAGCTGAGCGCCGCCCGAGCCCAGGCGCCCCCTCCCGCTCCCGCGCAGTGCTCACCGGGCCTCTCGCTCCGCGCCCACGTCCAGCGGCATTTCCACGAGACTCGCCTTCGCTATGACTTTTGTAAAAGCAGATGGCGCCTGACAGGACGTTCTGACTCAATCACGCCTCGGAACCTCCTCACGTCTAGACGGGACGGATGCAGCGAACGTTCACTTTTAAGAAGTCGGGGAGGCCGAGAGCGGCTTTTTCATGGTGAGGCACAGGCCTTCTAGAAATGGCCGGCGAAGGGTGGAGGGCACGTCCAACGGGACAAACGTGGAAGCTTCTCCTGTTTCTCCCCGGCCACGTCAAGGTCTGACAGAAGAACGACGGTCGCGTGGTGGCTGCTGCCCGGGTCCCCCTCGTCCTCCGGGACTCTGCTGACCTTTCTGGCCCTAAAGCCTTTATCCCTCGTCAGGACTGGTGGGTCTCTTCCGACCGGGACAGGAGTCACCGCAGGATCCGGAGCTTCAGGGCTGCCTGGCTGGAAGAGGAGGCGGAGCAGCGTCCCAGACCCCGCTTTCCGGAGGCCCTGGCGCCCGGGACTATCCACATCCCAGCAGCCCCTGTGCTTCCCCTGACTGCCCACGTCCCATCTGCCCCCGCGCTTCCCCTGACCGCGCTACTTTCCATTGGCCCCGGCGCGTCTGCGCAGTGCCCACCTCCCATCGCCCCCTGCTTCCCTTGACCACCCACCTCCCATCGTCCCCCCGCGTCCCTGGACCGCCCACGTCCCGTCGGCCCCCGCAAGTCTCTGAACCGCCCACTGTCCCGTCAGCCCCCGCGCGTCTCTGTCACAGCTGCCCCCGCGCTTCCCTGCCCATCCAAAGGCTCTGTTTCCAGGTAGCTTGGCAGGGACTTCCTTTAGGTTATGCAAGGTTGGGCCTGGAGACCCAAAGTATCCGGACGCTGCGGGAACTGGGCGAGGCTGCTGTTGCCATGACTGTCTGAGTTGGACAGAGAGGTTCCCGCTGCTTTGAGGCCAAGGGTCTTTGGTGGCGGCCACAGAAGCCGTGTCTGTCCAGGGGCCCCGGGCTCACCATGAGGCTCAGGGCGGACGGTCCCGGGAGCTGACCTCGCTCCGCTTTCCACCACGCCCCCAGTGTCACCACGCCCCCAGTGTCACTGTATTCGGCCCCCACTCCACAGAGGGGCACAGCTCTGAGCCCTGAGAGGTCCCTCGTTCCCTCAGAGACTCCACAGGGAGCACCTAGCTGGGGCCTGGAATCACAGCCCTGTAGGAGCTGCGAAGGAGCCCCCGTGCTCTCCCACAACCCAGAACACGGAGCACGTTGTCAAGGTGGAACCTTCCGTGGCAGCTGCGACCAGGGAAGATGGTGAGAGGTTCACAGCAGCCAGGGTGCAGATCCTGGTAGCTGGATGCAGTTCCGCCCATCACTAACAGGCTTGCAGGCTTCCTCAGGAATCCACCCACCAACTTCACAGAATGCCTGTGTCTATGAACCCCCAATATTCACATTCAGTTTCTGACCTCACTCAGCTCCGGATGCCCGTCACTTGCAGAATCCAATTAACAAGGGCAAGATCTGGTACAAAGATGAGTGTATTAACCATAAGAGGTGAGGGGGAAGTGACTGGATTCCTGTCTGAAGCGACCACTTCAATTTTGAGGAAAAGGCAGGGGTTTCAAAAAGGAAAAGTAGATAAGAAAGGCATACAGAAATTGGGCTGAATACAAGATCTGTGTGTCTTACTCTGTTTGCTCTCTGGCGTCCCAGTCCACCTGGATCTTAGGCTGGCATCATCTCAGCAAGGCCTCGGTTAGTAACTAGCAACTTTGAAGTCACCTGGAATTTTGCAGCTGGGTCTCCAGACTTTGTCTATCTCAAAATTAACTTCTGGAACTTCCAAAATGGCACATAAATCAATACAAACATACAGTTAGATAAATGTGAAGGAAATATTTATGGTGAAAGGGAGAGAGATGGAGTCTATTTTAAGGCTTAAGAAAGTTGATTCTGCTGTTTGCCTCAAGATTATATCTTTATAAGAGAGAGAGAAAAAAGTTAACTTCTCTCCTCTGCCCTCTTGTAAGACTGCCTTGCTTACACTTTGTCTTCTGCCATGACTGTAACCTGAGGTGTTCCAAGCCATGAAGAACTATTTGATGTGGAGATTACTGATGACAAGTTTGACTTACTACTTGACGGAATCCCCCTTGATGAAGATGTAAGACTGCATCTAAAACACAGAAGAAACATATCTTTCAAACTGCTCTGCTGTGTGTTCGTTCACCTTAGGGAGTTTAGATTCAGCGAGTTAGAAACACATTTCTTCTAGGAGCTGCGTTTGGACCTTCCAGAGTGAATGGGAGTATATGCTGTAATGAGAAATATCTGGCTGTGAAATGAAAATGGAGCTATCTAACAGAATGGTTGTCAATGTGTGCATCAACTTACAGAGGTAAACGGATGTGTGCATGCAGCAGTTCAGAAACCTTTTCTGTGGAGACTCTAAAAACAGACATTTCCAGCCAAATCCAGGCATATAAGAAATAGGAGTAAGACTGCGTCTAAAACACAGAAGAAACACATCTTTCAAACTGCTCTGCTGTCTGTACATTCACCTTAGGGAGTTGCATCGATGTTTAGATTCAGCGAGTCAGAAACACGTTTCTTCTAGGAGCTGCATTTGGACATGCTAGAGTGAATGTCAGAGACCTTAAATTCATGACCATGTTGGATTCTTGGCAGCTGTCTACCCAAGGATCCATGTCCAAGAGCAGGATTCTCCTTCCAAAGTATGGGTATGGACATGAGGAGCAGCCTTTAGAAGATGGGGCTGCCTATAGTTGATATAACCTCCTTTGATTTCTTGGAGGTTTGCAATCTTCAGGCTGTCCATCATTCAGGACCCTGGCTGTTTGTTAGAGTGCTTCCTTTTGTGTTAAGAACTCTATGAAATTTCCCAGGGCTGCCAAAATCAAAGATTATGAACTGAGTGGCTAAAAAATGACCAGAATGTATTTGCTTACATTTCTGGTGACTGGAAGTTCACAATCAAGTGTAAGCTGTGCTGTGCTCCCTCTGAGACTCAGGGGAATGCTTGTCTGCCCCTTTCTCACTTGTGAGGGTGACTGGTAATCCCTGACATGCCTTGGCTTGCTGCACCACTCTAATCTTTGCCTCACCTGTTATATGGCACACTGTATGTCTCTGTGTCTGTGTCCAAACTTTCTTGTTGTTCTTTTTTTTTTTTAATTGTACTTTTAAGTTCTGGCATATATATGCAAAATGGGCAGGTTTGTTACATAGGGATATACCTGCTATGGTAGCTTGTTGCATCGATCACTATGTCATCTACACTGAGTACTTCTCCCAATGCTATCACTCCACTATCCCCGACTCTCTGCTATCCCTCTGCTAGCCCCCATCCTCACAACAGTCCCTGGTGTGTGATATTCCCCTCGCTCTGTCCATGTGTTCTCATTGTTCAACACCCACTTATGAATGAAAACGTGGTGTTTGGTTTTCTGTTCTTGCATCGGTTTGCTGAGAGTGATGGTGTCCAGCTTAATCCATGTCCCGGCAAATGACATTAACTCTTCCTTTTTATGGCTGCATAGTATTCTATGGTGTGTATATGCCACATTTTCTTTATCCAGTCTATCATTGATAGACATTTGGGTTGGTTCTAAGTCTTTACTATTGCAAAGGTTGCCACAATAAACATAGCTGTGCATGTGCCTTTATAATAGGATGATTTGTGATGCTGGGTCAAATGGTACTTCTAGTTCCAGATCCTTGAGGAATTGCCACACTGTCTTCTATAATGGTTGAACTAATTTAAACTCCAACAGTGTAAAAGCGTTCTTATTTCTCCACATCCTCTCAAGCATCTTTTGTCTCCTGATTTTTAAATGATTGCCATTCTAACTGTTGTGAGATGCTATCTCAATGATTTTGATTTTGATTTCTCTAATGACCCGTGAAGATGAGCTTTTCTTTGTATGTTTATTGGCTGCATAAATGTCTTCTTTTGACTAGTCACTGTCCATATCCTTCATCCACTATTTGATGGAGTTTTTTTTTTTCTTGTAAATTTTATTTGTAGATTCTGAATTAGCCCTTTGTCAGATGGTTAGATTACAAAAAAATTTCCCATTCTATTGGTTGCCAGTTCACTCTAATGATAGATTCTGTTGCTGTGCAGAGCTCTTAAGTTTAATTAGATCCAATTTGTCTATTTTGGCTTTTGTTTCCATGGTTTTTGGTGTTTTAATCATGAAGCCTTTGTCCATGCCTATATCCTGAGTGGTATTGCCTAGGTTTTCCTCTAGGCTTTTTATGCTGTTAGGTCGTATGTTTAAATCTTTCATCCATCTGGAGTTCATTTTTGTATAAGTTGTAAAGAAGGGATCCAGTTTCATTTTTCTGCATATGGCTAGCCAGTTTTCCCAACACCATTTATTGAATTGGGTACCCTTTCCCCATTGCTTGTTTTTTTGCAGGTTTCTCAAAGATCAGATGGTTGTAGATGTATGGTGTTATTTCTGTGGCTGCTGTTCTGTTCCATTGGTCTATATCTCTGTTTTGGTACCAGAACCATGCTGTTTTGCTTACTGTAGCCTTGTAGTATAGTTTGAAGTCAGGTAGCGTGATGCCTCCAGTTTTGTTTTTCTTTTGCTTAAGATTGTCTTAGCTATGCAGCTCTTTTTTGGTTCCATATGAAATTTAGGGTGGATTTTTCCAATTCTGTGAAGAAAGTCAATGGCAGCTTAATGGGGATAGCAGCAGTATTCCTAGCTTGAGGGCCTACCCTACTGGACTGTGACCTCTTCTTCAGTAATAATATCTCCAGCTACATTATTTCCAAATAAGGACATATTCTAAGGTGCTTCTAGTAAGGACTTTGACATCTCATTTGGAGACTCAATTTAACACATGACAAACCCTGTGTCAGACCTCCCATGTCTATTTTCCTACACATTTTATTTGGACAGGGAGCATAAAAATAGGAATGAACTCCTGTGTGTTCTCTAACAATAGCAGTACTGAAGGCTGCACTGTTGGTTTCTCTACTTTTGAGGTTTTGGGACTTGAACTGGGACTCCTTGCTCCTCAATTGCAGATAGCCTGTGTGGGACTTCAGCTTTTGATCATTTGAGTCAATACTCCTTAATAAACTCATCTTCAAAAATATACATCTATCCTATTAGTTCTGTTTCCCTAGAGAATCCTGACTAATACAATGGGAAAAGTGAAGACCTCACTGTATCAACCACATTTCACTGATGATAACTTGTCCATAGGGAGCAGAGGATATGCAGGAAATAGAGAGGGGTTGGTGGATATTGTCTGTAAAAAAACAAATGCAACCTAACTGAACTCCCCATGAAAAGAGGGTTAAAATGTTTGTTCACAGCTAATGATGGCTTGTGTTATGACACCCACAAGTTTCAGAAATAGTTTCTATTAACTAATGTAATACTTTATCTAGGTTTTACTTTTTATAGTTTATTTTTCCTCTCTAGGCAGCACCACAGAATAATGTTTTCAGAATTCTCCCCAATTCTCTTTGAGTTTGGGTTCAGTTCCTGGAGGAAAAGTCTGCATGGGGAAGTGAGCCTGCCTCATGTGCAGCCCCCAAGGCTGCTACATCACCTCATGTACCACTGCCCTTCAGTCACTTGGTCAACATTTCTGAGTTAACCTTCCTGAGACATAACGACATTTAGCAGGGTCTTCCCTATTTTAAAAAAGATACTCAAGTTCCGTTTATCACTGCAGACACCTGGCCCTTTCTGGAATAGAGTTTATTTTTGAGTGTGCAGTAATTGAAGATTAATGGAACGTTTGTGTGCATCTCATCATCTTACAGAGTGCAACCGCCATGGGGTTGACCCATCAAGAATGTAGATTAACTTTCTCACCTGGAGGACAAGACATTTTCATAGCCAGTAACCGAAGTGGGGCTCTCACCCTCCGTGACCTATCAGGCACATGCTTCTGGCTAATGTGCTGCCAGCAAGGGGAACCAGTGCCCACCACAAGAGTGTTCTTCTGTTTCCCTCCCACTTTGTAAATGGAAGCTATTGCTTCTGCCTGGATCTCATTCATGAGTTTTCATTTTCTGTACAACATGCCTCATCTAGAAACACTCCCAAAATCTTGCAGTGAATCTAATGGAACTGTAGAAAATCATACATGATGTGCCTCATGATCAAAATCTCCACTTCTCATTCAAGGAAATTTCTTATGAGATTCGCCAGAACTTGCTTTCTTTCCATACATAGATCTACCTCTAAACACTTAGAGAACTTACCCTCAGGGAAGGCACATAGTAAGTCAGGGGTCACAGTAACTGTGAGAAAATATATATTTTATGAATCTTCTAAAAGGGGTCCAAATGAGAATAGCCCCACTCTCTTTTTCTCAAACTGGCACCATCCCCAAGAACCCACTTGAAGAACCTGTGGTGCTTCTAGATCATTTAGGCTTGGTATGCTGAGAGACCGAGAGAGAAAAAGAATCAATCTGTCCATGTAAGTGTTTTAACTGTAACTTATTTATGACTCTGGGGCAGGATGGTGATAGTGGGGAAGGCTGTGCATGTGTGAAGCAGGGACACATGGGAAATCTCTGAACCTTCTCTTCAATTTTGCTGTGGCCTTAAAACTACTTTTAATGCATTTTATGTAACGGAAGTGGCAGAGACATTTGAGAATTCATTTTGGCCAGTTTTTAGGAATCATATTCCATTTTGGCCATGTTACCAAGTAATCTTGCTCCATATTATTTACCTATCTAATTTTAAAAATTATGTCTGCCTACATGGGAATCTTTGGATCACCCTGATTGATTGCTTCCTTTACCACTCGGAATTCTGCACAATTTTCTTTTGAAAGAAATATTTCTTATGTAGAATACATACATGTTTCTATTACTCATATTCTGCAATGGCTTAGTCGATTTTCTAAGCAACTTTAAACATTTTAAGCCCTGTAACCTCCTCAAATTCAGTGCAGCTGCTTCCTCCCTGGGGTTTCTGACACTCTCAGGATGTGGGTTTCACACTGTGTCTCTCACACAGTAATACACAGCCATGTCAAATCTCAGGCTTCTCAGCTCCATGTAGGCTGTGCTTGTGGATGTGTCCATGGTAATGGTGACTCTGCCCTGGAATTTCTGTGTGTAGCTTATTTCACCATCTTCAGGATAAATATGTCCCATCCACTGAAGCCCTTGTCCAGGGGTCTGTCACACCAGTGCATGTAGTAGTCAGTGAAAGTTTATCCAGAAGTCTTGCAGGAGACCTTCACTGAGGCCCCAGCCTTCTTCACCTCAGCTCCAGACTGCACCTGGGAATGGGCACCTGTGGGGAGGACAAAAGAGTGGAAGAAAGCCCTCTTGACTGAACTCAGTCCCCTTCTCATCACTGGGACTTGGGAGTTCCTTACCTGTAGCTGCTGCCTCCAAGAAGAACATCCTCCATGTCCAGTCCATGATGAGGAGCTGGGCTGTCAGGGGCTTCACTAGAGGAGGGGTGTGGTTGTTGGGTGATGCTCTCAGGGCACAGACATCCATATTTACCTCAGTGGATCTCGGGTTATTTTTATATTCATAAGACAGAGTATTTAATAACTCAAGACCAGATCCAGGAAAAGAAAGGGAAGATAAATGACACATCAGCCTTACAATAGTGGGTTGCTGATGGTCCAAGCTCTAATCCTGCTTGAGAAAATACATGCCCGGCTCCATTCACACACTTTTTGTGGCCAGACATCCTTTCACTGATGAGAAAGCACCCAGAGGACATGACCCTCACTGTGGACCCATGTTTGACTAGCGCAGAGGCCACCTGGATGATTTATGGACCCATCACTCTCCATGACACTGAGCAGGTGCCTTAGCCCTATCTTGGACCCATCAGGCACTAGCACAGCTCACTGGTGACCCTGAGAAAGTGACTGCTGATGTCTCATGTAAGCGTCCAGTAGGTCCTTCTGCAATCTGCTGGGTGCAGATTGAGACAGTGTTCTGACACCTCCCTTGTGTCCTGATCCCCCAGGATCTTAAATAGAAACACTCTTGGTTTACAGATTTGACCTTTGATGCATAATTAGAGCTGATTTTCTCATCTTATGGACAATAGGAATCAGAAGATGTAAGAGAAGTTTTGAGTTATTTATGAACTTACTGCTCCCAAAATAATTGTCAAGGAATTTGTGTTTTGAATAAGTTTGGGTTTTATTTTGTACTCCATTTACTAGAACTTCATGAAGTGTTTACATAGCTTCAGTTCATGTCCATAGATATCCTCATCATTACATGTTGATTTTGACTCACTAGGTCTGTGCACCTGACCACACTCTCATATCCATCACTGTCCCCTCACTTACACAGTGAAGGCAACATTAAGTAACACTGAAATCTTAATTTTTTATTCATAGGAATACAGTGACTCCCACAATTCTGTATCCATCCAATTAGTAAAACCATTCCTATCCCTTATAGCCTCACTATTAAAATATTTATTGTCCTAGAAACCCACATTAAAGAATAGTTCTTGTTGCCTTCAGTTATATCAATGGTTCCAATGTAACAGGATATTTAAAGGCACATCGGTAACTTGCTGAACATTTAGTTTTTTTTTTTCTTTTTTTTCTTTTGTTTTTGCTGTTGACAAAGGAAGACACAGCTCCTAGGAGGAAACCTCCCCAGCCTCCTGTGCACCTGCTCCACTGCTGGAACTTGGTGGCTCCTGAGTGCCCCTTGCAGCCCAGCCCTTGCCTTGCAAAGATGTTTCTGTCCAGGCTCACATTTCCCCCAAGACCCTTGAGTCCACTGTTTCCTAGTTTAGAATACTCTTTTTGTGACACCATATGCTGCTGACACCATCTCTTGAAACAACTGATTAGCCTTACTAAGCCTGTTGAATTCTGCAGGGAGACAAAGCAAGGACTCTATGACACAGGAGGGAGCTCCTTCTCTGAAGCTCCAGATGCACTGAATCAGTGGACACACAATGAACAGAAAAACCTACAGGGCCTTTGGGAGTGCCTTGTTTCTTGCAGTTGAATGTTGCATCTGAGATTACCAGCAGGTGCGGATATTCAGATGAAAGCCCACTCCATCTCCACTATTCCAGTAACACACATTTTTCCACCTAGTGCCTAGCCTGTAGAAAGTGCCCCCTACAATGACAGTAGGCTCAGGTATCTGACTTTCTTCTTCTAGAGACCTAAAGCCAGCAGGATACAAGTGGAGACTTGGGAAGTGCATGGAGGAGGTTATTTTCATTTTCTCAGCTAGGAACCCAGCAAAGGCCCCACAATAAAAGAAGCTGAGATCTATTATAGCATTTACAAGACCTTAGTTTTAAAAATACTGATGTCAGAGGCTTCAGATTGCTCTACTGTCCTTGTCTTATTCTCTGCCATTGTTTTTTAGTTTACCTGTGTTCTGCACAAATACAGTCTGTGCATTTCCACACTTTAATCTTTAATCCAGAGACATCATCCTGGTTAGAATGGATTGTGCACTGCAGGTCAGCACGGCTTGTTCTGACAATGGAAACCTAGAGACTCGATCTTCTTCCACTTCTGGACTGTGATCTTGTCCAGGTGTCTCCAAGGGAAAAGCTCAGTTTTGGCCATTACTCCCTTTTGCAATTTCAGTGTTCCTGGACTATTTACTTACATCTTACCCCTATTGGCTAACTTTACTCATTTGCATAATGATGGAAGAATGGGAGAGAAATCTGGAATGGAAGATTTGTCTTCCTTCACATAGGAAAAGGTTCTGGAAAAGTCCTTCCCTGTAGAAGATTTTGAAGAAGGCTGCTGGCATATTTCTCAGTAATTAATCATCTCCCATTCTGACCCATAGGTAATGTATTTGGATTGTACTTTTAAAAATCTGGATGTTTCTGAAGAGAAACTCCAGAAAACGTAGATGTATAAGCCTCTCTGGAACTGTCACATTTACCAAGTCCACATCTGTCTTTCAGACGTCTGTAATGCTTACCATGTAAGTGCCTTCAACAGCTTGTGGCTTATGCAGCTTCTATTCCATTTAAGCAAGTGTCAGCTGCCATTCTGGACATGCCCATCTCTCCAGGTTTTGGAGTGGGTAACTTTTCTTGCAATTTCAGTTATTTAATAAATTTTAAAAAGTATTGACATTCAGATTATGCAGATTTATTTGACATAAAAATGATGGTGATGAGTTTTATGATCTACATGTTGGAACACAAACCAAAAGTACAATCAAGGTTCACCTTTGATGTGTTACTAGAGGCAGAAAACTGAGCTTATTATGTATTTGCGGCACATCTGACATAAATAAACAGGCAAGACAACCGAGAAACGGTATGGCACAACGCTTATAAAAAAGTCTCAGCAATTTCAGTTTTCTTTTCAGGAAGCTGAAATTGTGAAAGTAAAACAGTGTGACTGGTCATGTCTCAGGTGATGTTATGTTCTGGCAAATGTCTCCAATCCTGGGCTGGATCCAGTAGGTGCACCTGGGCACTCAAACCTGAAACAGGGACTCTTGTTAAACACAAGACATTCCTATGAGAAAGCTGTTCTCAGGTATGTTGCAGAGAAGGGAGGAGGAGATGGAGGTGTTCTTGGCTTCCCATAATTGCTAAAAATTGAAGACCAAGGTCACCTATGAGGGGGGCAAAGATCCACCTATTAGTAAATCACATCAGTTCTGTCTTCAGGAATCTGGCTGTTTTGGAAGATGAGGAATGTTATTTGATTCTTTCTGTTCACCCAATGTGCTTCAGAAGCAATAAAATTGAGAATTAAATAAATATGTGTTTTTCATATTAGGGGAGAGAACATATGTAATTCATGGAAATACAAGTGCTCACTCCATAGCTTGCAGAAGGAGCAAGTGCACGATTGAGAGAAGGAAGCACCCTGCCCCAGGAAGCAGGTGCCCTAAGATCATCCCCTGAGCACTGCACTCTAGATGCCACTGTGTGACCTGGGATGGACCTCTTCCCCTGAGCTTTATTCTAAAGAGGTATTAATATAAAATTGCAGCAGTAACTTACCTGTAACCTTTAGGTAGGGGCTGGTGCTGTTCACTCTTGTTATCACTATTGCTGTCTCAACCCTTAGAAACCAGAACAATACCTGAGTGACCCCCTCATCTCAGGTGTCAGATGACCACAATGCAGAGAACACACCTGCTTTGTTTCTGTCACAAATATGGTATTGGATCTTGGAAAATATGTGTACAGTGTTATAGAATTTATCATAATTAGGTTATACTTGATAAAATTATAATTAGTAAGTGACATTTAAAATTTAGCTGAGGGGATTTCTAAGCAAAGTGTTGATGGCGTACTTGATTGTCTTTGATCACTTGATCATCATCTGCATTTTAGTTGATGTGAAGTTTTTACCTCATTTTGAAGGAAATAAAATAAATTTATAGACTCTACCTAGGCCAGATTTACTTATCTCTCTTTCCCTTGGTAGCTAAGAATGTAGCCCCAAATATAATAGGAATCCATCAACACTGTAGCTCTCACAACACTTTCTTGGTCAGCTGGTCCAACAGTGTGAGGAAAACAATAACACGATTATTTTATGAGACTAATTCTGTACCTACTACAGATTCATTTCTCCTTATGTACCGGGACCTCTAGTCCATCGCAGCCTATGATTATGGAGAAGAAAAAAAACACTTTCTTCAAATTTCCATTATACATGTGGGAAGAGAAACTGATATTTCTGTCCACTGGCTTCCAGACAGAGGTGTTGTAACTCCTGGCCACTGGGCACTGTGGTGTTCATTGTTTTGGGGCATTTATGCATCCTGGAGAACAGTATTATCCCCCAAATGGACCTTCTTTTCTACTGTGAAACAGTGGCGTAAATTACCTGGTGTATATCTCACATCAGACTTAAGCCAACCCTTCCATTGTTCTACCGGGGTCTTTGTTTCTGGGCAAATGTGAAGGAGAAAGAACTGCTGGATTTCATACTCGTCTTCCTTGTGATCACATCTTGTAACCCTTAACTATAGCTACAATCCCTACTTTCCTAAAATTGTCCACAATTGTGGACAATTTTGGACAATTGTGGACAATTTTAGGAAAGCTATCGCATGACAACAAATCACTACTTCATAGAAACACCGGTTAGTCAACAGAGCTCAAGCTGTGAGCAGGTCAGTACTGAGGCCTCAGGCCAATCAAGGCTCTTGTGTAAGTTGTACAGAATGCAGAATTGAGCCACACAATCTATGCCAAGTGATCTTTGACAAAGTTAACAAAACTAACAAAAATAACAATCAAAAAAAAATAAATTAAAAAATATATTCAATACTTGGGAAATTGGATAGCAATATGCAGAAGAACAAAACTAGATCTCCACCCTCAACATATACGTATTCAACACAAAATGAATTAAAGACTTGCATGTAAGGGGGGATCCCAAGATGTCCGAGTAAGAGGCAGCTCCGGAAAGCAGCTCCCAGCC